CCGAGATGGAGAGAAGATACTTGCTATGTTGTCACTCATGCAAAGTTCAACTTTGCCATTAATGTTTAGCCAAAATTTTGGACATTTTTCTAGAGCTATGTAGATCAAATTTGAAGCTAATATTTTTTCTAGATTAAGATCTATGAGTTAGGAATCTAAGAACAAAATTTTGGCTCAAAACAAGCTAGATTTGATCAAGATTTTATCAAAATATTGTAAAGAGGTCAAGAATGTGATTCACCAAACAAATTTGAAGAACAAGTGAAATCAATGAAAATTGAAGGTAAAAATGTAAGAATCTTGAAATTTCATTGAACAAATCTAAAAGTACATTGAAAATTAATGCAAAAAAGTTAAATTTTCATGGAAAATTTAAGCAAATTGATTGCCAAACAGAATTATTTGGAAAGCCAAAAAAATAAAAATGCAAAGGAAAGTAAATGCACAAAACTTAAAACTAAAATCTAAAAGTCTATCTAATTCTCCTCTTTTAGCTCGCCACTCCCTTCTATTTATAGGCAAATGGGAAATGGTTCCAAGACCTAAAATTTTAGCAAAAATAACTAAGTAATTGCCAACTTCTAAATCCTTCTTCCTCTATTCCTTTGTTGCCTTTGCTTACTTGTTTGGCTTTTTTATCTTCTTTTGGTTTCAAGCCTTCTTGTCATGATTCTTTGCACTCCAAGAAGTCAAAATTATGATCAATGGGAAGCCTTCAAGCAACCAACTCAACAAATCTAAATGGTCTTTTTAAAATCTCCCAAAAGGGCACTAAGATGCATTGATCATTTTATGCTTGTATCAACGGCACACTAGCCTTTTGTTCCTTCATTTTTGCTGCCCAATACCACATTTTATTCTTTCATTTTGCTGCCAACATTCAAGTCATTAAATGAACAAATTGTGTAATATAATCTTTAGAAAAATTTTAAAAAATTATCAATTCAAAAATAGCTTGCTACTTCCTAATGCAACTATTACATTTCAAGCATGTATAAAAATACTTGAAAAGTGATAATGCATTATTAATCTAATGAAGACAATTCCAAATGAGAATTATGAGAATTGAGACTTGAAATAAGGTTCCATAAAATTCATGTGAGTTTGAGAATTCATAAAAGAAAAAGTTAAGAAGAACTCTTCTAAATGGCAAGATAAAACAATCATACTAGTTATGACCTTTTCTAACTTTTACCACCATAAATCCTTCAAAATGAGTCCAAATAATCTAAAATTTCTCATTTTCCATATTTTAAACCACACATGAGACAATTATGCATTTAGGAGTACTTTTACCAAAATTATCAACAATCAAGCTAAAAATCAAAAGAAATTACACTAAAAATGAATAAGAAAATGCTAAAATTTTAGTGCAATCATGTTTATAGAGTTTTTTTTTTTTTTTGCATGTGTTGATCAAGATTTTGCTAGGTATCACTTTTATCTCCATTTGTATTATGTTTTTTATCCATGCATAGATCTTTTATGGTGTTTGGAAGGTTTTTATTAGCTTTGAATTACCTTTTTTTTTTTTGGCTTGGTGACTAAGTTTTTGCAATGTAGGTTGTAAATATGTTTTAAGCATGCTGTTTGAAAGGTTTTTTATGGTGGTTGTTACAATTTTATTTGTTTTAGACATGGTGTTTAAAAGGCTCTTTCAAATTAAATAACAATTGTCATTTTTTATCTTCTTGCAACTCAAATATTATCTGTAGAGGTTGGAAATTAGTTTGAATAATAATGGTGCTACCACACGTCAACCCTTTAAAGATAATTTTTTTAAGATATGTATATATTTAATAATTTTAGTTAACTTAATTATATAATTAGAATTATACACTACAACTATCTGTTGGTTAGCCTAAATAGTTATAAAACACTGCATTGTAAACTGAAGTTTTACCTACTAATATTGAATGACGTTCTTTATTAATAGCAAGTTTAGGCAACATTGGAATGGTAAAGATACTTTGTCTCAATATGACTTCTTTCTTAGGCTCACTAGTTATACAAATTAATATTTGTAGGGAGAAAATTATTTCAAGATTGCTATAAATATGCACATATTCAAATACATCTTTAGGAATGGTTTTGATGCATTCTTGAATAGACTAAAGCTATGTATATTAGATGTTGGCATCACAAGTAATGAAGCCACTTTAAGAGTTAGGAGTTGGAATAAGCCCCTATTCCCCTTAACCAACCAAAAAGAAAAAGAAATAAAATATGTTAAAGAATTCTTTTGGTATATTGGGTATTATATATATGGTTTAAATATTGGTCATCTAGATTACTTACACTGTTATTATTTATAAGTATTTTTTTTCATGTTATTGTTTTATCTAATAATGAAAAAAATAATCTGAAAAAAAAATGAAACAAAAAACATTGTTTATAGGGAATCTTTCAAAGCTTGAATTTGGGTTTACATTGTTGCTTTAAAGATTTTCATCTTGCACTATTTCCCTTTATTTTATTCTTCCTTTATTTGTTTGCTTCTTGATGTGTAATTCATGTTCCATTGTTGTGATCATTTTCCCTAGGATTACTTTTCTTATTTGTCCTTTTTAATAAGCTTTTTTTTCCTAACAATGCAGATTAGCAACGATGAGTTTTTAGTCTCTATCTGAGTTATCACCAATTAGGCAAAATCAAGTCATCAAAATCAACATTGCACGTATATAAGATTTCGTGAATCCAAGATCAAGCAAATTAATCAACCTTAATTTTGTTGTCACTAATGTTAAGGTAAACTCATTTTTTCTAATTCATATTATGTTGGTTTCAAGCTAATAATATAGTAACTTTATTAGAATATGTTTTTTTTTTTTAATGATATGTGAATGTGTACGAGCCTAAGGTTTTCACTTAATTGAAAACCATTATCAAATAAAGCTTCTTAACAATGCAAGGAATAATTTACATACAACACTAAAGGTGACTTTTTTGTTTTTTTTTTTATTAATATAAAAACCATGATCAATGTTGTTTATCTTGATGGTCTTAAACAAATACAAATAGTAATAAATGATAATTACTCTTTGAACACACGTGTGGTAGTGTATAAAGCCTTTCTGTAGCATGCTTAAATTTTTTGTTTACCATTTAAGGATTGCAGCCTTTCTAAATGTTGATTACAACTCAAATGCTTTGCAAGACTTGGACTTACTCTTGGAAAGTAAGATGATAATATTTTGGATGGAAGCTGTTAGATATTTATGAGATGTACTATCAAGTTTTATAGGGAAACTTACTTTTGTCAAGTGCAAACCTGTGGTTATGCAGCTTTAATGCTTTTCAATGTATTGAATATTGTTTCTTATGTTATCGTAGTGTTATTAATATCTTGATCTATTGTAAGATGTTGAAGGTACGATGCCTATTTCAATTGAAGCTGCTAAGGCCCTAGATTCTTTAAGTGATGATAAAAAAATTTAACTTTTTTCATAATAATCACAGTCAATTGTGGGTTTAATGAAATATTTGAGAAATTATGTATCTATACTCCGTACATCTCTTTTTATTCTCTATTTCTCAGAGGTTAACTACACATGGTAATAAGAAGCAGAGGTTTGCCTTAACAGCCATGGCATCCTACAAAGAAAAGATAGGCAGGTTAAGGTATGCACCCCTTCAATTTTGTTGTGTAAATACATGTTTATTGTAGCAATTTCGTTATGATTGTTGGAAAATTGAAGTGGATATATTTATCTCTATATTAGACATTAATTTTTTGCCTATTATATGCTTAATTTTTTTTATGTTATTCTGATTATAGTTTCACAAAATTGTAATAGGTGAACGCATGGTAAAATTTGTTTTAAGAAACAAGTATACCTCTACAATTAGTAGCATAGTCACATTTACTTGAGTGTGGTCAATTCTCAATTCTAGAATGTGTGGTATAGTAATTTTTTTATAATTTCCTTATATCGACTTCATTGAAATTAAATAAAAACTTAAATATGGCTAATCAAATAAGTAAATTTTTATCTATTTTTTATAATGATAATGAGTAATATGTAGTTTTTTTTTTTTTTTAATCTTAACGCCTTTATATTTATATTATGAATATGGCTGTATGTTTTCTTTTTGCTATAATATGTTTATAAGCTAACAATTAGTGTATTGGATTAAAATGTGAAATGTGATATACATTCAAATATATTCTTAAAGAGTTTTAATTAATTCCTTTACAAATTCTTACTCTCTTGAATCAAACCAACAATGAGTTACGATGCCAAATTCTTTTGCAATGCCAGACCATCGAAATCGATCCAACCACAAAATAAGTTTATAATGCATGCAACCAATGCTGGATCATATTGGTGTCCAAATAGTTATTTTAAGGTTAGAAATCTTTATCTTACTTTAAATTCTATCCTATTTTATTTTTCAATTTTTCTCAAGAAAAGCTTTGCAATAAATCCACTTATTCATTAGCATAATAGATTTGATACAATAATTTAAATTTAAAGGCTATCTCCTTTCTTGGATGAAAATTGTTCTGCAGTTACCTAGAACTGATAAAGTGCATCTATCTACTTCATTTTATGCATCAAAAATCTTTTCTTACAAATTCTGATTAGTTGCCTGTTACATTTTTGGTATTTGTATCATGTTTTAATTTTCAATTTGCAAAATAGGTAAACATAAAATGACAAAAGTTTGAGCCATAATCTTTTGTAACAATATTTAATTGACTATGTTTCTGGTTTGAACTTAAATTTTATTATATTTATTGCATTTTACAATTAAACGTTCATTTTTTCTATAAGTAGTTAACCTCCCGTGACGAAGCGGAGTAGAGTAACTAGTTAATAATAAAATGGTAATGATAAAATAAGATGACATATATCTAATGATAATGATAATGATGAAGTCAGAGAGAAAAGTGATTAAATAAATAACATAATAAGAGAATAAGTTAATTATTAAACTATAAAAGAAGAAAGAAATAGCTAGGATTATTAATGAAATGAATATAGGGCCTAGCTGATCTAACCTATCCATAGGCAAGGAATGTGGGCTATGACACGCCTGGAATCTCTATTCTCCAAGCACCAATGTTGCAAACGAGGACAGTCGTCAATCCTGAGTGATCCGAGGGAGGGAGGCAGGCCTTCCTCTGGCAAAGTTTGAAGCTGATGGCAACGAGAAATATCTAAAACTTGGAGAGATGATAGGTTTCGTAGGAGCTCTCCAGGCAAGGATTTTAGATCAGCTACATTTCTAATGTAAAGCTCAATCAGAGAAGCTGGAAACACATTTTCAGGAGGACATATCCGATGGATCCATAACTGACGAAGAGAGTTCATTTTGTCCAAGCACCATTCGGACATTGCCTGCTTCAAGTTCTCGCAATCAATGAACAGAAACAATAGATTCGGAGGCAAACCTCCTTCTGGCATGGACAAGATTCTTGGACAACTCTTCACTTTTAGCCCTTCAAGTGACTTGAGATTGTGCATGGCAGGCAGGGACTTGAGATTCTTACATCTGTTTATTCTTAGAAGTTTGAGATTTGGAGTGAACAGCTGGGCTTCCGAAAAGGATTCTAAACCATCGCATCCGATTATTACCAACGTACTCAAATGAGTTAGGTTGTTGAAGCAAAGAAGAGGTAAGGTTTTCAGATTGGTACAGTGGGAAATTTCAATGGTTTCAAGTGCCTGACTATGTTGCAACATTCTGTCTGGAACAGTCTCTAATCTCCTGCAATTAAATATGATAAGACTCTTAAGAGTTTTGGGTAATTGGCCATTTGGAAAGAACATGAAAGATGAAAGCCCTTGCATTCTCAAATCCTCCAAATGCAACATGTTGCCATTGTCATGCATCATTCCCTCTGGTAGAGATTGAAGGCACTCACAATCTTCGATAAGCAATGTCTTGAGGGAGGTAGGAAATTTGCCCCGTGGAAAGGATTTGAGAGAAGGGCAATTTCTAATAATTACCTCTTGGAGACGATGCAGGGTTTCATCACCACCGTCTGACACTAGTCCTTCCGGTAGAGAGTGAAGGAGCTCGCAATCAGCAATAACCAACTTCCTGAGTGTAGGTGGTAATTTGCCTCTTGGAAAAGATCTGAGAGAAGGACAATTTCTTATCGTCAACTTTTCAAGACGCATGTTGTTGCTAGTGTTTCCACCATCAATCTTCATTATCCCATGCAATGAATTTAGCGTTTTGCACCCTTTTATACTTAATATTCTTAGACATGAGTTGTTAAACGATTCATTTGGCAGCCTTTTAAGGTTGTTACAATCATGTAACTCCAAAATTTCAAGATTGTGTGATAGGACAACTTGATCTTCCCCTCCCAAGGGCTCAAATAGGGGGCACTTCTTGATCGAAATACGTTTGAGGCACACCAGATTCTCTTGACCGCTTCCGTCCTCCCATAAGGATTTAAATTCAGTACATTCTTCTATCTCCACATCTTCAAGTGCTACCATGTCTTCTTTGAACCCATTCGGTAAACTAGCAAGATAAGAAATGTTGCTAATTTTCAATGTCCTAAGACGTGTGAGATGAACCATGCCTCGAAAAATCATCTCATTGCATGCTTCCAAATTCAGTTTTCTAAGAGATGGAAGACTCACCAATGAATATGTTAACTGCTGGCATCTGCAAATCTCAAGTTTTACAAGAGAAGGAAGATAGGCTGGCAATTTCCCTACCAACTTCGGACAGTTATAAATATGAAGCTCATGAAGCCGTGGGAATTGCCTTGTCCTTTGGAGTCTAATGCCAATCGAAGAAGACCATTCCTCCCAAGCTAACATATCTTCAAATCTTAGCATCTTCAATGACGGAAAAGTGCCAATTGAAGAAGAACCATATCCATAAAACTCAAGACCCACTGTTTTTACTGCAACCATGCCTTTCATGATCAATATTTTCAATGAGAGCAGCTGTCCAAGCGATGGTAGGGAAGTGATTCTTTGACAATGATAAAACTCCAAGTGTGTTAGATTAGAAAACAATGGATCACCCATCCATGAAGGGAATGCTTTAGCCCCGTAGCCTTTAGTTGTAAATTTTTTCAAGTTGTGATGAGGTTTTAACCAGCTTAGAACTTGCATCTCATTGGTTTCATTACGTGAGTTATGAAAATCACAAGTCCATTCTAGCTTTAATTCATCAAGACCCTCCTTCTCATTTAAATTGGCATGTCTTACATCTTGTGTATCCAACACATTATGCAGCTGGAGAATAGATAACTGACCTCGAAGATGTGATAGGCCATTTAATTCTCTTATTCTCAATCCATCAGATTTCCCCACAACAAATTTTGGCAAGGTCAAAAGGCTTCTCAGCACACCGATCCCTGGTGGCATCTCTTTTAAAGCCATTGTGTGTGAGATATCAAGATGACGAAGATCGATTAGATTCCCAATAGTTGCAGGTAACTCAGTGAGCTTATTGCACCTGCGTAATATCAATGTTTGCAAGTAGAAAAGAGAAGTCACAGATTCTGGTAGACATTGTATCAAGGAGCCTGACAAATTGAGATATCGCAAATGCTTCAATTCCTCTATTGATTGTGGTAGCTTCTTGATGTTATAATCACAGAGGGATAATGCCCTCAAGTATCTCAATTTTGGCAGAAAATCATGTAGCACACAATTAGATAAAAAGCTCTGAAAGGAATGCGAAAATGGAGAAAATGATAGGAACGTTCTCAAGCTCTTCATCTTGTAAGCCATTCCAAATCTTTGAGAGGTGTCGTAATTGTGCTTCGTAAAAGACAAGTAGCGCACCTTTTCAAAACTTGCAAGCCACTTGTGGCACTTGAGTTTATCTGTAAAGTTATAGCATGTTTCTCCTGCAACGAATTGAGCTAGATCATTCATCAGGTCATGCATCACAAATCGTGATTCCTTGCCACCTGCCTGCTGAAAGAATGCTCTTGATAACAAATCAAGGAAATACTCATTGCCCAAGTCTTCCATTTGTTTCATTGCTTTTGGCTGCTGTACGAGCCCCTCCGCCATCCACAACAAAACTAGCTCATCCTTGTCGAATTCATAGCCTTTAGGAAATATAGCGCAATAAGCAAAGCATTGTTTCAAATGAGATGGAAGATGGTGATAGCTCAATCTCAGAACTGGAAGAATATCATTCCCCTCTTCTGGTAAATCCCATAGCTTGCTTTTTAATACATCTTCCCATTCATTACAACTTCGCTTTCCACGCAGAAGTCCTCCCATGGTTTTTGCAGCCAATGGCAATCCTTTGCATCTTCTGACAATTTCCTCTCCAATTTTTTTGACATCCGAGTGTGCATTGAAAATTCTTTCTCCTAATGCATGTTGAGCAAATAATGATAGGCACTCATCATATGGAAGAGCTTGTAGATGATAAGGTGGAACATTTCCCATCATTGATGAGACATTGCAATGGCGAGTAGTAACGATTATTTTGCTTCCATGTGCTCCTGCTGTGAATGGTCTTCTTAGGAGATCCCATTGATGGTAATTCTCGCTCCAAACATCGTCTAGAATAAATAAAAACTTCTTTCCCAACAATTCCTCTTTCAGCCTTATTTGAAGTAAATCCAGGTCACTAGTTTCATGAGAATTGGACGTAACTTTCTCCAGAATTATTCTTGTCACAGCGAGAAGATCAAACTGTTGAGAGACACACACCCAGGCTTTGATGGCAAATTGATCTGTGACTCTTTCATCATTATAAACAAGTTGAGCCAAAGTAGTCTTACCTATTCCTCCCATTCCAACTATGGGAATCACACATACGCCATCAGGACCATTTTCATCACCCCTGAGCAAGCATTTAACAATTTCCTCCTTTTCATTTTCCCTACCAACAACGTTAGGTTCAACCAAAGAAGTAGTTGGCCTTTTTTCTACTAATTTGTTGGACATGTCTCCAGCAATCTTAGTCAAATTCAAGCCTAGAGCATTAATCTCTGCTGAAATACATCGTAATCTGTCGGTGATGTCCTGTATCTTGCTACTTACCCCAAGATCTGGTATAAAACTACTTGGTCTTGTACCACTACAAGATGTTCGGTTGATGTTTGATGCCTTGTTTGTTGAAGCTTCAGGATTAGCAATGGAGTTGCCACAGGATACTTGAAAAGGAAATTCATCCAAGATATCGTCCATATCAAAAGCCAAGTCTCTAACCTCGGCAAGCCAGATTTTCACAAAGGGGTCAGTTATTTGCTTGGTTTCGGCTTCTTCTAGTACCGCACGGATTTTCAACATCAAACTCCTCCAGTTCTTGAGCTCCACATCAACTTGCTCCCGTTTTGCAAAATTGAACAATTGACTAGAATCCAACTTCGTGAACAACCACTGAAAAGTTGTTGATAGAAGAGCACCTCCAACGACAGATAAGGCTTCCATTTGATTTAGTAAGTACTCTGCAAGAACAATCTAAGAATATTCAGAGGTGACGCAAGACAAAAGATTTCTCTTAAGAAAATCTAGAAATTTACTCGCAATAATTAGTGACCAAGAATCAAACTCTTAGCATGTCAAATATTCAAAAAAAAAAAAAAAACAAATAGTGTTGAGTTTTTTTTTAAATGAATGAATGTGTAATTTTGTAGTCATATTAGTTAATAGTAAAATCGTTCAGATGAAAATAATATGTTTGATGATTAGTGATTCATGTTGAATTTTAAAAGATCAATAGATGAAATATTGAATACATGAAGTGTTTAATACAAGATTAAAATTACATATTAAATATATAGTGATATTGTAATAGAAGTTCCATAGAAATAAAGCAAAGAAAGTTGCTAATTCTAAGATGAGAGAAAGCATACATATTTGGGTTATATGGACTTTGAATTTGTTGTGCTCAACTAACTCCAAAGTTCAATAGTCATTGGGTTTGAGTTGATTACGAATAATAAATTTTTTCCGACATTGTTGTTCTTCAAAAGTCATATGATGTGGAAGATATCGCTTAACAAATAGGCTGGAGTTGTTACATGCGATGTGATGCCAGTAGGTATGATATAATATGATATGATTAGTCTGCATTTCCATAGCTCATCTCTCGTTGAAGGTATGAAAATTGAGATTTAAAATCAGATCAGACAATTCATATATTTCGTTGAGTTTTATCTAAAAATTGTATATTATAATTTATGTCGATAAAAAAATATGAAATGTATTTTTTAATTTTCATTAATCTCATATATAATTTTTTTTTTTAAAAAAATTTAACTCATGTCACTTTCTTATTTTTTTTCATATCATATTTTAAATTATCAAATTTGAATTAAAACATGGAAGGTTTTTTCCCTAAACTACGATTGATGAAGTTCTAACTGGAAACCTTCAATAGCTAATTCAAGTAATACTAAACTAATAGCTTATTGGTTGTGGAGGGGCATTCAACTATGTAATGATAGAACCATGTTGGATTATATTTATGGACTGAAATTAAGAATATCTGATTAATAGTATTAGCATTATTTTGCTTCAGTTGCACGGGGGTTTTTTTTCCTTTTTTTTTTTTTTAGTTTCTGAAATGGTAAAAAAAAAAATACAATCCAATTCGTATTATCATAAAGTATAAATTTGCCCTCGAGTTGCTATAGTAGAAAATTCTATTTGAATACTTTTTAATTTTTAAATAACATATTATTACATATCTTACTACATATCCTAATATTAGTATATGATAACATCATTTACCATGTTATATATAATAATCAACATTAATTAAAATTTGTTTCAATCACATTATGATGGGGTAGTGTGTTATAGTTTAGTGAATCTGTCACTTATTTGATAAGATTGTTAAGAGATTATCTATGGTTAAACTTTTCGCAACCTATCTATGGATATTTATCACGTTATTATTAATATAGCCAATTAAATAACTTCAAGAATTTACTTTTATATATAATTATTGGATGAAATTTAAGGTAAAAAATGAAATTAGAATTTATTGTTAGAATTTTTTAGTAAGAGGTTTGTTATTAATTTATGATTTTATAATTTAATAAAATTGGTTGACAAGTTTAGTCTTAATATGAGACAAGCATGAGAGTGTAAATAATTTAAAGTGATCACTTGTATATGGATTTTGCATATCTTATTGGGTTAGCGTAGTTTAATGGTTGTGATGTTTTTTATCTGGTAAGCCTTTGATGAGAGGCTTTTAAGGTTTCAATAAAATATATAACTAAGGTTCTCTCTTCACTTCTGATTAACTGTATCTATCCATTAGAAACTACCAACAATAGAAGAATGAAAATGAAGACCTAATTTATCTAGAAACTACAATAGCTTTCGCTTGTTATATATAATTGTTCAAACAGGTATGCAAAATTGATTGATTGGTGTTCTAATAATCACATATTTATTTTAAAATTTTACTTATATTTGGTGTCAAAATCTAACTATGTGAAATTAAGACCCAAAATTCTGACTATTGAATTTTAGTTTTGCATGAACGTTTGTTTTGGGCGAAATTTTTTGTCTGTTGAATTCTCATGTTTCGGAGATCTTTTTTGGAATTTAGATTAGGCCTTTTGCTCCTATTGAAACAAGGATTAAAATTAAAACCATTCCAACAATTTCTAATAACTCATTTTTTAGAGGAAGAAATTTAGGTTTAAATTTTAAGGTCAAGATTTTATTAAAACTTTGATATTTTATATGTTTTAATCAAAATTGGTTCTTCAATATTGTTACTCATGTGTTTTAAAATTGAAATATATATTATAATTACATGTAATTTGGGTTTTAGTTGATCAATTATAAAGAAACTATAAATGCATTTTTATGGGTTTCTAACCCGAAAATATATAGCTTAACTAATCTTGATTCATGTTGTTTTGATGCAATTTGAAATATGGACTTTGTGAATTAATATGTCAATTAAAATTAGATTATTTAATTTAATCAAAAATAAAAATAAAAACCGTGTAAAATGGAAGAGAGCCTGAAATATGTTAAATATGAATTTAACAATCAAGTTTCTTTTGGTCAATTGATCTTATTTTTTGTTGTTTTGATGTGATTTTTCACATGGGTTTGATAAAACAATGGCTTAATTGAGGTTTAGAAATTTCAATTTTATCAAAATTGCAAAAGAAAGCATCAAAATTCGCTTAAAAATGACATATACGAAAATTGGGTTGAATTTGACCCATTCAAGCTAGCTCAACCAAGCTAGAGTAAGAAGATGAACAGTGTCGAGTGTAAATAGTACTAGACTTAATGAATAGTACTGAGTTGGCACAATATTGAGTTAATGAATACTGCCAAAATCATAATATTGATAGAATTGAACTCATTCGACGTCTTTTTTTATATCGTTTGTTCAATTAGTTTCGAAATTTTCTATTGCATTTATTTATTAGTTTTATGAAATTTTAAAATGCATCAAATATTTATTATATAATATTTATACATGATTAAATAATTATTATATTTTATGCACATAAATTTTATTATTGTATTTATAATAAAATATTTTAATGTGCTAGAAGTCTATCGGAGGTATGTATTCTTCTTATATGATATTTAAAATTTATATACTCTCAACCTAAATTTTATGTGTATAATTGAAAAATTTTAGTAAAATTTATTTTTTCTAATTTTTGGCTATCCTATTTTAAATACAACATGCATTCTTTTGAAAAGTATGTTGGATTTAAACTCTACAAGGATTTGGTACCACTAATAACTTACTAGTTCTTTTATTTGATAATTAGATAATATTGAATGATTACTTATCTGAATAATTAGAGTTTAAAATTGTTATCTAGTTAGATTTTTCTCATGACTACATTTAGGTTATGTATCATCATTAAATTGTAAAGTTTTTATTTTTGGTATTTGATACATAAGAAAAAATACTGAATGAAATATTAAATTACATATGAATTTCAAGACACTTGAGTTTTGAATGCAATAAATTACTTATTAATCTAGTAAAACATATTCTATTTAAGTATCTCATAAGAAGATACCATATCTATAATGGTCTATTGAGATATGTTTTAATTATTGGTATCTCACACAGAAATGGTCAACTCTTTAATTATCCAAGAAGATACATCATAATCAAGTATCTCGTGAAGAGTAGTCAAAATGCATACACTTAGGTATGCAAACTAAAATTATGGACAACCTAAATTTTTCAATATAAGAAATACAGTTAGTTAATGGGTGCTTGCCTGTCAAAGTAACTCACTCATTAAAACTTATAAGATTTTCTCGTACTCAAGAACATAAATATTTTCAAATTACCTTATACAATCGCCTGCCTAATGAGAGTTATTATGTTTGGTAATTTGGAGTGAACATAAAGCATTAAGGTTAAGGGTATGCTAGTCTAAAAGGTCTATCTATCCAAAGTGGATAGGCTTTAAAAAAACTAGGATATTCTAATATTGGCTTCATGTGAAAAGTACCTATTAACATGTCAAATTCTCTGTCCAAAGGGAAGTTTGTGATGATGTTCTTGTATTTTTCAATTTAATTACAAATAACAAATCATGGATTTGTGCTATTTGTAAGGATTATTGCTTATATGTTGAACGTTGCATTCTTTTGTCTTGAATATTATAGTTGATTTTCAATGATAACTAAATATTCAAAAGCTTAAAAAGCTCTAATGAAAAGAATAAAGATGATTTAGAGCTTAATTTAGTAATAGGTGTTTTCTTGGATATAATTGTTAATTTTGAATATATTAATTGATTATTATCCAATTGTTAAAATGTTGTATTTTATGATGATAAAATCTTTTTATTTAAGACAATTTTGTGAATACTTTAAATACTGCCTAATTATATGAATCCATGAAAATAATTGTTACATGCATGATCAATAAGTTTGTTAATTATATTCCTTTGTTCCAATATGTAATTGTTTGATAAACTAATTTTATGAATAATCATACTTATACAAAGTGTGACATGTGGAGCTAAGTTAGGTTATTTTGAAAACATGTTTTATGTGACTTAAATATGTTTTTGCATGCTTACAATGTTATTACTTTAATATATCACTTAATTATTATATCAAATTTTAGACATTAAGTTTAAAGCTTGATAAAGTGCATAATGTGATATATTTTTCATAAACTTATGTTTTTTCATGGACATATGTAACAATATGTACTGGCTACATTGATTTATGAAAAGTATTTAAATTTTTATACTAGTTTGTTAAAACAATGAAAGAGTTTTCCAGTTAAAATGGTGCAATTATGTCGTAATATTAAATAATTGCATGGGAAATTTGCTTCACATAAATTGTTAGATTAGTTTTTAATATCTTTTATTTTTATAAAATACTTACTGAATCAAGTGTACTCTGATAAAATATTAATTGTTTAGTAATTATAGTATCTAATATTTTGAGAAAGTAGTAAGTAAAATTTTATTAC